ACAAAGGTCTGAGTAATTATTCAAATTCATCGACAGTGGGATTTGAACCCCAGACCTCTTGCATGGCGGTCTGGCAATCTAACCACTACACTAAGATCGCCAGATCTTGTTTTAACTATAATATTTGATTCAGATACAATGAGAAAAAATATAGAAAATAGTCTAAAATTACCAGATATAGAATATGATAATAATATAACTTTTCTTAGAAAAGAGCCTTCATTTCCTACTTATCCAGAACCCTTTCTTCTTGTTAATAAGATCATACTTTTCATAGCTTATGAAACTAACATAGATAGTGTAGCAAACCTCAAATAAGCAAGTAGAATAGTATTACAACAGTTAGTGAAAGCTGTTAAAGAAGCTATGAAAATTTTAATATTAACAGTAGTGATGATGGTAAAAATCCTTTTAGTGGTATTTCTTTTGATTCTAATAGTAGTTTTGCTTCTCTATCTGCATAATATAGAATTTAACTATAAATAGATTACATACAATTCTTTAATATATAAAAAAAATAGATTTTTTATTTGATAGAAAAAATATTTTATCATATTATAATAAAAAAATAAATGAAAAAACAAAACTTGTTGATTTACAACCTAGTAGTAATCTATACAACCAAATATGAAATGATACAAGATTAGAACCTTGGCAAATCAAGGAATTAAATAATAACATCAAACAAAAAGAAAATGAATTAATTGAAAATTTCATTTCATATATTAAAAATGAAAAGAATCAAGATAAAATCAAAAAATATATCAAATTACTGAAAAATATAAATATTTTTTTCGTAAAAAACAAGGAAGAATTTGATAAAAAACTTAATTCATTACAAAAAAAAAAATAAAAATAATAAATAATTCCAAAATAAATTCAAATTTATTAAATGATAATATCTCTATCATTTTTCATAAAAGAAAAAAAGATCCTATTAAATTAAAACCTATACATATTTTATTCAATTTTTCAATTAAAAATTATATAAAGTTAATAATTAATAAATATAAAAAAATAGTTGAAACAAACAATAAAACAATCAATCATCTTGAAAAAATAATATCAATTAATTTTAAGAAATATCAAGAAAGCTTCTACATCAAATCTTGAAAATCTATAATTCATCACAATATACATAAAAAAAGAAATAAATCATATTATCTTAACATTAAAAAAATAAATAAATAATTTTTTTGGAAATAATTGATTTATTACTATCTATCATAAGAAATAATGATATTGTTCTTTTTGATTTACTACATTTAAAAATAGGTCTTATTTTCAATAATTTAACTATTTAAATATATAAATGTATCTTTTTTTTCTTATTTCAAAATTTAAATAAAATATATTTTTATTTTTTAATCTTGCTATTAATACAAAAAATCTCTTCTCAAACTTACACATGTATTTTATATAACACCAATGAAAATATTCTTCAATGTGTGAAATCAAATCCTTATAATAATATACAAAAACACATTAACATAATAGAAAGTCCAAATAGTAATATTGGTAATATTGAATATTTTTATAAAATCATGAATAATTCAAATAATAATAATATTCAATATAATAATTATGATATATACCAAGATTCTAATTATTATAATAATCTGAATAATTTTTATAAGAATATTGAATTAATATGTTATAAATATGTAATCGATAATGACTATACTAAAATAATCGAAGAATATATATCGAAAAATCTATTAAGTTATCAATATCCAGAAGCTAAAAATAATCTAAATAGACTTTTCAATATCATATGGGATTATTATCTTTCAGAATATAAACTAATATCATCATCTATATATCTTCACAGTATTAACAAATATAGTAAATATGTAGATAATCAAAACTTTAAAAATAGAATATTCATAGAAAAAATATCATATGATAATTTTAAAATAATGTTAAAAAATGATCAAAAAAATATTATAGATTATTGCGAAGCAGAAAAATATGAAAAAATAATTAATGATTATGAACAATTAAAAAAATATAATCTTGAATTACATACAATATGAAATGATATATGTAAAAAAATAAAAATGAAAATACATAACAAAAAATCTTTTTTTACTGAATTCATGAAAAATAATAAAAATTCAAATTTCTTAATGTATAAAGGATTTGTATATAATTCTTTAAGAGATGAAAACATCATAAATAAATTAGATAAAGAAAAAATTATAGAATTGGAAAAAAATCATTTAGAAACTTTAGAAAATCTAGCAATAAATTGGTTTAAATAGTGGAGATATTTACTAAATAATTCAAATAATTTAAATATCATTGATAATTATTAGATATTTAAAAATGTTGAAAAATTAAATGCAAAAACAAATGATAAAAATTTTTACAAAATAGTCAGATCCATGTTTATTAAGAATCTGATTAAATGTAATCAAGAACATGAAAATATATGTGTACCTGAAATAATCCAAAAAATTGTATCTGAAATCAATTGTCAAGCATTAACTACAGATAGATTATATGATTCATTATTAAAAAATAAATATTTCATTAAATTAGTCAAACTAGTATTAATGAAATAAATGAAATACACCATCATATAACAAAATGAAAAAATAAATTAAAAAATCTTGTATAGTTAATTTTATCATTGATGTGTTTTCAACAAATAATAGATTTGAAAATTTCTTAAAAGATGGTATCTATGAACTTTTTTTTTGGAATAATTTAGAAATATCTAATAATGATAAAAAACTCATCGAAAATAAATAGATAGAAAACATGAACAGATTAATAAAATTAGAAGAAAAAACAAACATGAATCAATACATAAATAAATTATTAGATATATCACTTCTATTAAAAAATAATCAACTTTAGTTTCCACTATCTTCTAATATATTCTCAGATTATTTAAATCATGAAAAAAAATTACATGAAGATTACATCAAAGATAATAGTACTATTGCAACTTTAATTAAATTATCAAACATATCAGATGATACTAAAAAAAAATTTGAAAATCAAAGATTAGAAATATTATATGGTAAACCTATAGAACATGAAATACCTAAACTAAAATCTAAAAAACAACCTGATAGCTTTGAAGATATTTTATTCAATGAATTAAAAAAAGAAATAGAAAATATCAAAGAAAATAATGCAGAAAAATTAACAGATTATGAAGAATTAGAAGATAAAATAAATGAATCAAGATTATCAAATGATAAAGTTGAAAAATTACACAAACTGAGAAAAAATAAATTAGCTAAATTCGCAAATAATAAAATCAAACAATTAGAAAATAAAATTAAAATATCAAAAACTGTAAAGGATATAGATTATATATTTGATGAATTAATCTATGATAAAATATTATCAGATGAAGAAAAGGATAATATCACAACACTATCTCAAAATAAATTAGAAAAAATCAAAGATATAGTTATTAATGAAATCAAAAAAGAAATTGAAAAAAGCAATGATGCAAAACAATTGCTTGATAAAAAACTAGATGAAAAAATCAAAAAATTAAATTTATCAGAAGATGATATCAAAAAATTAACAAAAATATTAAATAATAAAATATCTTCTATTATTAAAAAAACAAATAATAGATTCCTAAATGAAATAAAAAATTTACAAACTGAAAAAGACCTAAATAATTTAAAAAAGATAATAACAGAATATGAATTATTATCTAATGAACAAAAGAAAATTATCAAAAATAATATAGAACAATTTTTATCTGGTCTTCTACTTTGGTGCTAGGACTTTACTTTTTTTGTTTTTTTTCTTTATTTGTTTGTTGTTTAGAGGTTTTTTTCTGTTAGCAGGTTTCCTCTATTTAACTATATTATATAACATATGACCTTTGTGTCTTTCGTTATATATATAATTTTTATTTATCCTTTTCACTATACAAGAAACTATTATCAGTTTGGTAATAGTTTATTGTATAGGTGAGAAGTCATGATGAGTTGCGATGTCTTCACTAAGATTTGTTGTTATTTTTTTGAAAGATTAGATAGTGATGATGAGGGAAAAGACTTGCTATGGCAGATTGCACATAGGTACCTTTAGGGTAACCAGGTGAGTCAATACTTAAAAAATTGCGTAGTTAGATATATTTTGAATAAATATGTATTCTAATATTTTTGTCGAGCACAAAATTTATTGCAAATAAAGTATTGGCATGACCTGCTGAAAAGGTTAAAAAAAAAAATAATATAGATAAAAAAAATAATAGAAATCAAGAAAAATTCTCAACCAAATCCTAATGAAAATATATTTGTTAAAGAAATAGAAACAGAGATATTAAAAATTGTTAAAAATAATGTTGAAAAATTACTTAATAGTAAAGATATAGATAAAAAAATTCAAAATTCAAAATTATCATCTTCTAATATTGAAAAATTACAAGAATCAAAAAAAATGAACTATCAAATTTAGAACTGAAATATACAACCAATATATCAATATTGTAAAATCAGAAAAGAATGAGATTATATTAACTGATTTGAATAATGATATATTAAAAAATAAAATCTTAACACATGAACAAATTCAAGATATATCTGCATCGATATTAGAAAAAATAACTAAAATAAATGAAAATAACAAAATATATGATGAAATCAAAACAGATATTGATAGATTCTTGATTCCTGAAAATTTATATGATTTTATCAAAGAAAATATCAATACCTTTGATAAAGAATATCTATCTAACAATAAAGATAAATTATCATTAAACAAATATTATATGGAAAAACAAGAAAAATTAATTAAAGAAATCATAGAGAGGGAAAATAATTATTATATAAAAATAATAGTAGCTATAGAGAATTGTTAAGAATCAAATCTACTAAAAGATGAATATCACAATAGCATTTATTGAAATATCAAAGAATTAAATGAAAATTATCTCAAAGAAACAAATAGTAAATATATTTTACATCAAATAAGAAAGAATAGAAAAAAAGTATTAGAATTTGAATAAGAAAATATATAAATATCTTGTTTATCTTATATTATTATTCATAAATAAAAATAATATATAAAAAAAGTGAATGAAAAAATTTTTTCAAAGAAAATAATATTTCTAATAATGATAAGGGTAAATAGTTGTTTTCTGGTTTAACCATTAAAGAATGTAAAATTGCAATAAACAACAGATGGAATGAATTTCAAATCATAAATAAATATGTAGAATATCGTGAATTTAGAAAAATAAATATTATAGAAGTTCAAAAATCTGAATTGTATTTATTATTAGATATACTTGAAGATATACTTAATAATGATAAAACTACTTTCAAGTTCTTACCTAAAGATTATAAAAAAATGAAAATAGATAGTTTAAATGATGATTTTTTACCATGTAGTGCAAAACAAAATGATCTTAGAAAAGCAATATCTGATAAAAAAAATACTTTTAGATACAGAATCAATGAACTCAATAATGAATTTAATAATGATGGACTTGATCCAAATAGATATGAAAAAATATTAAAATCTATTAATGAAACTGAAGAAATAGTATTTAATAAATAGAAAAATAAAGTAACCCCTGAATTGCTTAATAAATTCCTAGAAAAATTTATTAATAGATCTAAAGATAAAAATCTTGAAAATTGGTTAAGGAGAAACGAAATTGAAGAAGGTCAAAATAAATTATTGGGTTATACATTACATGATAAACCAAAAAAAAAAAATAAGAGTTGCTGAGATTAAGAATAAAAAATTCACAGGAAACATCATCAATAATTTTGAAATATCAGGTACTGAAATAGAAAAAATAGAAAATGAATTTGATAAATCATTATCTGGAGTATATAAATTATCTTATATTTTTGATTTAATAATTTTTGATTCAGAAAAATTAAAAAATGTTGATAGTAGTTATAATTCAGATAATTTTAAAAAATAAAAGAAGTTAATAAAAAATCAAAAATATGTACTATAATAAAAAGAAAAATAGTAAATGTTAATAGACCAGAATTTCTGTCTATTTTAACTAGTAGTAGAAAAACAACTAAATTAGTAAGATATCTGTTAACATGAATTTTTCCTAGAAGACATATTATCTTGATCATACTTAATGAAGAATTGGCTGCTGATGCTAAAAACTATCATAATAGTTGGTTACAATATACTAATAGTATTCAATATAAATATATCTTACATGAAAAAGAAGGTGAATTACCTTATATGGTAAAAAATAGAAGTCTTGCTTTATGGATAAATAATAATAATAAAAGAATAGTAGTTGATGATAGTGATAATTTTTTTCACATAACTGATGATATAAGAGAGACTAGTAATGAAATTAGTAAATCAATATTATCAATATTACAATTACACTATCTAGTTAGATACATAGCATATAAACAGGTAGTTATAGATGAATTACATGATCCTCATAAAATTTATAATGATTTTGAACAAGCAAAATTTCAAATAAAAGAAAAATTAATAGATAAAGAAAATACTATAATCATATTTGACAAAGGTAAATAAAAATTATTATTAATTAAAAAAAAAATACTAACATATAATAATATATATTTTAAATCTTTTTACACAAGCTCATTTTCCAAACACAAGTTATCAAGTAATCCAACCATTGGTAATTAATAAGAGTTACAAAGTTTTAGTTATGAGTGCTATTTTTCCAAATAAAAAATTCTCTATATCAACTTCGAAACATAGAGAAGTTTGTTCGATAAGCAAATTCAGTAATCAAACAAATTAGGAAAATGAAAAAACATAAATTTTTTTTAGAACAACCAGTTATGAATATTATAGAAAATCAAATAGTGAAAAAGATCTCAAAAAACTATTACTAAAATTAGAATTGGAACCAGATAAATTAATAATGCTAGAAGATAGTGATATGCTATATGTAATATTTGATAGTACGAACTCTTCTGCAGTAACTAGCATAACAGAAGGGATACCACCTAGATCTTTTTTCATAGCAAATAAAAACCATAAAATAGGATTTACTCCTAATATTAATAATATAATATTAACTGATAAAACATAATTAGTTAGATTAGGTAAAGGAAAAGGTACAGAAAGATAGATATATGATACTCTAGATATTCAACCTTTATCAGTAGTTAGCATAATTCAACAAATATGTTGTGTTGGTCATCTCAAACTTGGAAAAGCTTTCTTAACAACTCAAAAATTACAAGAAATAATACCAGATAATGATATTATATTTTATCTTATCAATGTAATGATGCTTACAGAATCATTAAATTTAATGAAACTATTAAATAAAGCAGGATATAACTATATTAGAAAACCTAGAGATCATAAATATCAGAATTTTTTATAGGCTGCTATCGCTCTTCCATATAAAAAAGATCATCCTGTAGAGGCTATTATAGTAAATTTAAATAGAAACCCTAAACCAAGTTCTGCTATTCTATTGAAAATTTGTTCAATATACAATATTCTACCAAAACCTGATATAAAGATAAAAATCTCTGGAATATGAATATATATGGTAGAATTGAACTACCAAAAATAGACTTGGAAAATAACAAAAATATATAATTTTTAATAATCAAGATGAAATTAAAAGCTCTAAATATAAATACCAATGATGATATTTGCATAGAATTAAAAATTCATTAATAGAAAAAGTATAAGATTTTCATTTTAAAAAAAAATGATAAAATATCAGATGATAAAAAAAAATTTTAATTAAAGAAATAAAAGAAATCGTGAAAAATTTTATATGTAAAAAAGTAAATATCAAAAAAACAAAATATAAACTCAATGAAGTAGAAAATTTTAAAAATTCTGTAAAATGGTTGAAGTTCTTTGATAAAATGATAATAGATGTTTACAGAAAAACTATTGATGAGAAATTACAAAAAGATTATTTGATAATTATCACAAACATAGAACATATTACTAAAAAATCTTTTCAAACTAAAAAAAATACTTATATTAAGAACTATCTAGATAAAGATAGATTTTTGAGAATGTTTAGATGTGATAAATATGAAAGAATGATAAAACAAGTTTTTGATGTGATAATCGATGATGATTTTCAAAAATCTAAATTTTGTGAAATCTGTATCTGTAAACTTCAAAATTCAAATATAATTACTTATGTAAATAATATTGGATTCTGTAAAAATACTATTAAAATATTAAAATGAAAATAATCATATTTTTATTATTATTTTTATCATTTATACAACACACCAACTTGACAAAATATTTTTATTATTCTAAAATATTAATGATTAAACCACTTCCTTCAAATAATAAAAACATCAAAACAAATAAAATCAAAGAATTAAATCTAATATTTAACTCTTTATCTAATGATATAAAAAAAATAAAATATAAAAATAATCTAAATATTATTAAAAATACAAATAGATACAATTTTCTTAAAAATAATATTATAACAAACAATATAAAATATACAAATAACATAAAAAAAAAAATTAATAATAAAACTTGTCACATTTTAATATTAGAAAAAATAAATAATATTGAAAAAAAATATAAGATAAAAAAATATAAATTAATCATTTATTTAATTATAATAACAGAAAATATCATATTAAAAATTTCAATAAAACTCATTCTTTTATCATTGTTGAAATAAAAATATTCATTTAAACATAATTTTATATACTTGTATATCACAATTAAGTTTTAATATTTCACTATTCAATTGTATAAACATGTACAATCCTAATGATATTATAAAACCAATTTATCATAAAAATATATTTAATTCAAATAATAATAAATTTGATATATATAATTTTGGTATAATCATATAGAAAATACTAAATAAAAAACCAAATAAAAAACATAATAAAAACAAATACATTAATAAAATATACAATTCTATATTTAATTCAAATCATATAACAAATTTATTACATGATGACATAACAAATTTACAACCACATGATGATATGACATTTATAGAAAATATATCTTTATTCGAATCATTGAAATCTTAGATTATTAATGAAATGAATAAAAATAAACTTTTAGATTCTGGTTATTATAATGAAATATTAAAACTCAATCAAGAAAAATTAAGATCAAAATATTTTGATATTTAAAATATTTATAATAATCACTTAAAACATCTAGATATTTATAATATTATAGTTAACAATATTGATAATGAATGTATAATAGAACTTTTATTATTAGAAAATTATATTACTAATCTAATTAGTGTCAATGATTTTCCTGATAATTTACTAGCAAAACTCGAAAGTAAAAAAATAAAAAAATAATAGAATTAAACAAAATTTTTAATAATATAAAATCTTGATCGAAAAAGAAAAAATATCTAATAATTTAAAAGATAATAATAAAATTTACAACATTATCAGAAATAAAAAATTTTTAATAATAAATCTAAAAAAAACTACATATTATAAGAAATATCAAATATCAATACATTTTATACTATGAAAATATATTAAAAGAAATAGAAAAAATATCTAACAAATATGAATTTAATAATTTTGATAATAGAAAAAAAATAAAACAATATCTACTTGATAGATCTAGCGATCTTAGTGTAGTAGTTAGATTGCCAAACTGCCATGCAAAAAGTCTAAGGTTTAAATCTCACTGTATACAGAATTAAATAATTACCTGGATATCTGTATTTAACTTACAGTAAAACTCTGCTTGTTTCTATGGTTATAACCTTTCAAAACACATTGCACCAATACTAATCGGGTATTGGAAGTGTGACAAGGTATTCAGCGAGGTGTAACATTATATAAATAAATCTTGATAGAATCTACGAGTAAAAGATCTGTATAGTAAAAATCTTGAGTTAGGTAAAGTAGTACAGATTTTGATAGTTATACTAGTTAATATCTGATCTAGAAAAGGAAATCTGTGTACAAAAAGATTAGTGAAATAGATACGAGTAAGTTCTGAATACAGAAGGATTGATGAAACAGATGCGAGTAAGTCTGTTATATGAGGTCGTATAGCAATACCAACTTAACTTAGTGGCTAACTAGATTTGGGAGGATCTGTCTCATGTAATATCTGGTAGCAAAGCAGGCAATACCAAGTAACAGATTTGGGAGGATCTACTTTGTGTAATATCTAGAAGCACAGATGACTAACTTAGTAGAAGGCTACAGTAGAAACTGGGTTTATATAAACATCGAACAAGGGTTTATGCAAGCTAGATTGGAATATAGTATAGCATAGTTAGGTACCACAGTACCTATCAGTTAGAGAGTTAGTGAAAGGACACTTTGTGATAGGGTCTAGACTCTGAACTATAAAGTTTGTAGACTAATGTTAGCTCAGGTGTTTTCTAGAAGAAGTAGTACAGGTTTAGGCAAACCTTAGTAAAAAAGGATAGAATACAGGTAAGTATCATAGGGCCAGAAAGTTTAAATAGGTAATCTTCAAATAGATTTCAGGTATAGCAGCTAGTGTAGAACCTTCAGGCAGACTACTTAAATTAGACAATCTAAAGTTATATATATGGCTAGTTGTACTCTCACAATATGTAATATTTACTCATAATCAATACTAATAAAAGTTTTGACCAATAGCATTTGTATAAAACAAAAAAAAAAAAGAAAAAAAAACATCTACTTGATGATTTGAAAAATGAATTATTAAATTCATTAAATAATAAAAAAAATTTTATAGCAATATACAAAGAATTAATTGATATCAAAGAATGGGATAATAATTTATTAGATAGAGGACGCAAATCACTAACTCTTTCCGACGATCACTTGCACCAAATTCTCTTGAAAAAAAACTTGCAATATCTTAAAATTCTACTAAGTAAACTACCTTTGGCTGCTTAAGTAAAATTGTTCTATATACAATTTTACATCTAGGCAATTTAGTTTTATATCTTGTAACTGGCTTTTTAACAAGATATTCTAACTAAAGTATAGGAATGTTCTATAGCTTATATCTTAAAATTTTATTAAGTATTTGGCCTCTCTTACTTAATACAAAAAGAACCAGCATATTTTCAGCTTCATTTTGATATATAATACATTAAAAACGGTCTGATATTTAATTTTTTATTCAAAAAACTCTAAAATTATT